CGCCCACTTCTAACGACAGATCTCCTCGTTGAAACAACGAGAGGTATCACAGTAAGAAGGTTGTAGGGATTATAGTGCCAGTAGTAAACTCGCATGAGCGGATGCCCACTACATACTACTGCGCTCGGTGAAGGACAACAGTTCTACTTCATGCAAGCCAGTAGTAAAGAAAGGGATAAATAAGCGAGTCAGGCAACGGTATCAATGAGTACACTACGGCCAGAGCCTTGTGAGATCCGCTCCAGGTGCAGGATGCTGCTAGACGCGGCCTATCTCGTTCGCTCTACCAACTTGGGGGCCAACCATAATGCGCCGTCCCCCGCCGGAGCTGAGGCAAAGGCATCGAGCCCTATCACAGATGAGGGGTAAAACGAGCGAGCTTCGTCTTAAGAGTATCGCTGAGAGGCGAACGAACATGTACTAACCGGATCCGTCGAAGAAGGGACAGCTGTGGTTACGGTCACGGATTCGATACTGGCGGAGGAGGGATGCGTCGCTTGTGCGCTCGTCGAGGATGCCTGCAGGAGGAGTGAACGTCACTGTTTGTCATGGCTCGCGAGCAATGAACCTGTGAGGAAGAACGTACCTCGAGAGGCCCCTCACCCGGCGCTGAGGCTATCAAGCAGCCCATTTGCCGGCATCCCCTGTCTTCCAACAACTGGGTGACTTCTGTGTTACTACAGCTTCTCCGATTCAAGTTTTGAAGGTACGCACCAGAGTCGTTGCCAGTTCAAGCGGGTAAGCCGAAGCCGTTTGGATGATGACCGAAGCTACGATCACTGGCAGTCAGATTGGGATGGCTGTTTGCTTGAACAGAGATAACCCACCTCCGACAATGGCAGATGAGATAATGAACGTGCGAGTAAGGATGAAGGACAACATGGTCGGGAGGTCCGAAGGAGCGACTAGGGGTTCTGACGTGGGACGGGCGTATGAAGTGAGAGACTGCTGAAGGACGAATGTCGGTGTTCTTCAAGCAGCTCCGGTCTTTATGCATCCTCTGTGAGAGCTGAGCGGCGCGTTACACTCCGGGACACAACGATGAAACGGCGGCGACATACCTGAAGATGGAGATCGCAACTCCCTGGCGAATCTCTCGAGCTCGTCCGCAACGCTCGAAGAATGAAACCCCATAATACAGATGGACGGACAGCTGCGATGTGAAGATCACGGTCGTACGGGGACATCCCAACAGGACGTGAATGCCCTTGTACGACCTCGCCAGGGACAACGGCGAGCGGTGATTCGTGGCGGCATGCTCGGACTACGCCCAGTCGCAAACTAGGGCATGCAGCAGCCGCGAAGGTGGCGGCCAGGGTTTGTGATGCGCCTTGAGAGTGATGTCGGCTTCGGGGGCTGACGGGCGCGGCGCCCAGGTTGATTTCCGTCGCCGCGTATTGCGAACACAGCACCGACTCGGATGGGTCCCGCAGGCAAGCGTATCTGTGCATATGCGGTCAGGGTGGCACCAAATGCGCCTGAGCGAAGCATCTCACCGATGACGTACTCCTCGCTCGTCCGGTGTAGGAGACTGATGCGCTAGCTCTTGCCAACTAACAGGGCACCGACCTAGCATGAGAACGTTCTTGCATCGTAGGCCTTGGAGGTATGAGTACAAGGAATCAAGAACAGAATTTTTACAAGGGAGGTAATGTGTTGCCACGTACACGTTTATAGGGATGCTCCGCTTGGGGTCGATAGCTCATGCCCCAGGGTCTAAGCTCAGTGCCTTGAAGCAACGCGAACTCGGACTGAATCGGTCTTTGAATTTGCTTGAACACTTCCGTGCGCAATTCACGGCTTTCCTATTGCAGTTGAAGCCGCCGAGGGTCTACTCCACTGGACGACAGAGGACATGGGCCGTCGGCGGTTGGTCCGGACGGAAGTTCGAGCGAGTGGGCGAGTTTGCGTCCGGTGAGGCTACTAGTCACCCAGGGTGTCGACAGCCCCTGCTGACAAGCATCGGCCCCGACGGGCGGGCTGCATGCGCATATGATGCCCCAGTACGAACTCAAGGTATGCGATTGAACGATCTGTGAGATGGGCGCCGGGTGAGCGAACCTGTTCGTTCCAGAGCGCAGGATCAGTACTACAAACGCTGCTCACGAGCAGGCACATACCTCTCACAAACAGCGCCGATATAGCGAGGGCGCGATGGCCGCTAAGGGATGTATGGAACGGTGTGTCCACGGGTAGTCAAGCCATCTCGTAGTGAAACGACGAGAGATTTCGTCTTCCGACTCTAGAACCTCGGCAGAGTGCAGCTATGTTGGCGTAACGAGAGAAGTGGGGTGAGCTGGTCTTTCTGGAGCAAGTTTCCGTACCTCATTCCGAAGAGGGCAAGAGAAACCGGAATGAACTTGGTTCGTAACTTAGTCGCATACGTGGCAACGTCAACAGAGCCTTAGTGTGCATCAGAGACATCTGTTGCGTCCGTGCATGTTCCTGGCTGTCAGTCTGACCATCAGCAGGAAGTCAATGGGATCAGAATCGACGGGCGTACCGTACTTATGCATGGGAGTGAGGAGGGACCGAAGACCTTTGTGGCTTCCATTTTGGGTGGTTCGTTTGAACTTGCTCGTTTATAGCCGAGCCGCGAACTCAATCTAGATCAAGATTCGACCACAGACGCCCATAACTTGTCCGTCGACCACGAGTCGGATGTTCCCCTTGTTACCACTCGCGTCTCGTCTCACTCAGAACTGTTCGAACACTACGAGTCTGACACCGCAGTCTTGGGATGTCTGCTGTGGACTAGGTAAAGCTCTTCCACCGCTCTAATAGCGCAAAGGTTAGCCAGTACGAGCAACTCGTCATATATGACCTTGAAGACCTGCCAGCGCAAACGAATAAGTATTTTTTATCCTACATGTGTGGATGTGGGGTGCATGACGTTGCAGCGGCTGGTCCCGGTGACTAGCCTGGTGCTGGAACTGCAGCGTAATACCCCGGATGGGCGCATCGAGGCGGGGTGAAGAACAAGGACGCCCATAACCGGCAACGGAGGCGCGCGGGCAATGTCGTAAGTTGCCCTGCAGGCCGAGTCGGGCATCCCTTGTAGTCAAACGCACGCTTACCCGTCACAAACTCACTACCCAGTATGGACCCGCGCTTCCCGAGAAGGGCGACGCAATCCTCTCACCGCAAAAATAGCCGGACCCATCAAGTCCCTCCTTCCTATTCCGACGCCTCCTTTGAGCAGCCAAAGCGAGCAGGGAGTTGTCTGTGCAACACAGTATAAGACCCGGCGTAAAGATGTGGACGAAGGCCAGCGCGCCTTCATCGGGTGTCCTGACCCTTCACCTCACCCCTACCTCCACCAGCTGATCCTCTTCGTTCTCTCCTCGAATACTCGCTTTGCTTCTGAGTCAACATGGTCCCTACTTTTATTCTCACCCGCACCTTCGCCATCTCTGCGCTCTTCGTGGGTGGTACGTGCGCACGACTCCTGCCGCGATGACGCATGCCTGACCATTCCTGTGTAGCCTTTCCCATATCCTACGCTGCGCCTATTCCCAACGCAGCTTCTCCTTCCATGGTACGCCTCCGTTTTTCTGGCTCTGCTGTCTGTACTAATCCTCCGTTCCAGCGGTTCGCGGCTCGGGGTTGTCGTCAGATGGGATGTTTGTATGCTCTGCCTACTGGGAGCTCGGACTCGGTGGGTTACCTTCCTATCATCGCTCAAGGATTCAACTAACACGCTCCAATGCAGTCCGATGACCCTACTAGTTCAAACATCACCACGACGCTGTCAATACCTCCTGGCGGCTTCTCGCAAGAGTCGATGCAAGTCATAGACTTCCTGATCTCTGCCCTTACAGCCGCTCGCTCCGTTACCACAGACGCTTCTGCCAGTCCGACGGTTGATGCTGTCGAACATACCGACGATGCGGTGAAAGTAGACGGGTTCGCGACTGCGGCCATAGCGGCAGAGCTAGAAGAGACGGCTTCCAGTGTGGAAGCGTCTTCGCCCGAGAGACGAGCGGAATCTCTGCCCCGTGTACCCGAAGAGAGCACTTCAGAACTCGCGAACGAGCTCAAAGCGCCCTCGACGATTCCTCGAGCGCTAGCAGCAGGAGCGGCAGTAGTGACGGTTGCGAGGGAAGCGGTACGTGCTCTTGTTCGTGCTGCACTGCGATAACAGGAGGCTGACAATTCCCAAATCAGGCCATTCTGGACGCTCTCGTATAAACCACATCGCCTCCCTCCTGTATTCACTGTGCTCCGGTCAAGCCGTCCTTCAGCTCTCGTCTCGCCTCGTCTGTTCGGTCCCCTCACCACTCCCACACGGACTCCCATTCCTTCCCTTCTCCTGCGTTACCCAACCCCGTCGCTGCGCGCGTGCTCCTCCCACCCAGTTCTCGTGCCGCTGCATCCTCACCTCGCGCTGGTGCGCCAGGACTCACGAGGTAGAAAGCGGACGCGTACTTCCTTCACTCGTTCATTCATGGGCACGCCTGCGGTCGTCCTAATCTCCCCATTGGGCTCGGTTTCTCGGTTTCTCACCTGGACTCGGTGCGCGCTCCGTCAGGACTCTGCAGCTCCGGTGTAACCTAAACCTACCCGCGGCCTACTACGCCGCGTACCGTCACCTGCAGTTATTCATCGCATTGCCCATTGCACCGTCACACCTCGTCCGTCGTCCTGTCTGTCGTTTGCTTTCGCTGTTCGCTGTCGCTCGTCTCCATTTCTTGGGTATCGTGTATCAGTAGTCTGTTTCTCCCCTCTCTCCGTCTTAGATTTTCTCGTCGTCGTCGTCATCGGAGTGCTTCGATCGTGTATTACTAGCCCGTGTACATAGTTCTCGACTAATTCAGCCGTGCTCATCCCGGCCCATTCCGATTCTCTCGTGTTGGTTGCGGCCACAGTGGATGATTCTGTTTAGTCGATTGGCACGCCGCCTGAGTCGCGGCACGAGGCGATGTCTCAAGGTCAACGCAAAGGCAGCTTTGAAAAGAGGACCTTCGGTGTATGTATTAGCTCAGACAGCCACACTTTATGGGCATGTGGTGTAGTTGGTTATCACGCTCGCTTAGCACCACGGTCTTATGGCGTACTGTTTGCGAGAGGGGTCCGGTTCAATCCCGGACATGTCCATGAGTATGTTGCAGTATGATTTTTTCTCTGGTACTCAAGCAATACTCCCTGCTACGCCATTGCAGTGCAGCCGTACGTGCTGCACCGTCTACGATGGAGCCACTGCCATGTACTCGTACACGAGTCACAGGGATCTGCCGGCATAGCCATGATTGGAGACTTATTTCCGTAGTCGCATACCAGACGAGGGGTTTGCGTTGAACCTATTACCCAAGGTCGTCGTGACCGTATGAGAATGACACTCCCCACAGGACTAGAGTGGGTGCAGGGGGTCCGCGAATCTCGATGCCCAGCGAGATTTTCTCAAGTGGGCTGCGTCGGAGGCGAGCCTGAACAAGCAATCATCGACTGACCCACAGATGGATTACATTATCCGGCTGTAAGCCGACGCAGTGCGTACGCATCACACGGCCTACTCAGTTCCAATACTTCTCAGCGTAGATGCCGAGGACGGCACTGGCGAGGACATCGGTGTACGGCTGCACGTCCGCGGACGAGTACACCTTGTCGCTCTGGAGCCCGTTGAGGATCTCGAGCAGCTGCGACTCGATGAAGTCGACGAAGACGAGGTCGATGGGCGTGTCGTCGGACAGGCCGCTGGGCGCATCCGTGCCGATGAAGTCCGGCGAGGAGAAGAAAGGCTGCAAGGCACGGCGTTAACGCGAGGGATTTAGAGCAGGTGCTAGGAGGCACGGAACGTACCAGAGGCGAGTGGATAACATCGTCACCGACCCCAGGGCAGGACTGTATTCGAAGCAGTCGGAGGCTCAGCTACAAGTTGAGAGGCAGCGACAGGAGAAGGAGAGACACGCACGTCGGAGGTCACATACCCCAGCGTCGCGTTCATCGCCGCGCGACGTTCAGCACCGTGGTTCCGGCGGTCCATCTCCTCGAGCCACGCCATGTAGCGCATGTCGACGTCGCCGCGCGCATAGCGCTCGCGCTCGTACTCCCGGATGAGCGCGCGGCGCTCGTTCGCGCCCGCGTTGTTCAGCGCGGGAAGGACCTGGCTGGCCACGGAGACGGGGACGCTGGGGATGTAGAGGAACGCGTCCGCGAAGGGCGAGGACGTCAGCTGATCGTTCTTCGTGAACGGCCCCGAGTACACGTCGAAGCGCTGCGAGCCCGAGTTCGTGATCATGATGTTCGGGGTGTCCGCGCGCGAGTTGTTGACGGTGAGCGAGTACTTCATCGCTTCGGCGAAGAGCGAGAGGAGTGAGTTGTTGGACGGGTAGGGCACCCTGCGGGCGCCGGTCAGGACAAGCGCAGCCTCCGAGGTAGATGGTAGACGTACTGGCTGAGCGTGTAGTCTTCGGGGCGGTGCCGAAGAGTTGGCCGAGGTCAAACTCTTCTGCGAGGTTTTTGAGGCCCTTGGTGATGGACTTCCCTGTCAGCGTGTCGAAGGTGAAGTTGCCTCGACCAGTGTGGTACTACGGCGCACATGATCAGAATGAGTATTGACCACGATGGCGAAAGCATACCTCGTAAGTCACGCGATTGGGATCAAGGTAGCGACGAGAGAATGTGATGTTCTTTGTGGACCCTTTATGGTCAAGCTTTGCGCCTGAACAATTACGTCAGGGAGGTCAGTTGCAACGATCCTGACGGTACTCACTCATCCAGCCTGAGAGGAGAAAATACATCAATATCGGTCACGTATGTGCAAGTGAAAGATCGTACCGACTGTCTCCATGTAGCGACCACTCTCCAGAGCCATGGAGCGGCCATCATATTGGACTTGAGAACATCGTCAGCATGAAGCAAGTTAGCCTTCACACTTGCAACAATCAGCTTACTGCAATCACGGATGTGGGTGTGGCCTGGCTCATGGTCAGCAACTGGACGGAACTATGCATGCTCATGACTCTTACCTCCGAGTATCAGGATCGGCGTGGTAGGGTGGACAGCACGAACAGCATTGAACACCGTCGGCCAGTTGTCCGTCTTCGCAACAGGCATGTGTCTGAGACGCTTCATCAGTATCGACTACCATGATCGAAATATGCTAGACTTGCTCACCCTGCGAGGAGGAAGAAGTCGGGCTCCTCCTTGATCGCCTCGGCGAACTGCGTGGAATGGCGGCAGTCAGTGCTGATGGACATCACGATGCTGAGGCGCGTACCCAGTGCTCCTTGACCATGTCCTCCACCTTCTGCACGGTGGTGTTCGCGTCGTTGCCCGTGAAGTCGAACAGGACTCCGAGCGAGGTGACCTTGCGGCCCCTGTACGGAGACACACTCAATGTCGGGAATAAGAAACAAGGGCAGTAGAAGAGAAAGCGTACTTCCGAGTCTTGAATTTCACGTACCGCTCTGCCGAGACACCGTCAGTCATCTCATGGGGGTGGGGGAGGATGTACTTACCGCCGACGGGCACGCTGACTGCCTTCCCATGCTCGTCCACGACGGTAATATTGACGTTCGAGGAGAGGTAGCGGCCGTTCAGCTTTGGGGCGAAGGTCTTGTACATATCGTATGTGTTGTTGTAGATGTACAGCTCATGACTAGACCATCGTAAGACTCAATACGCCTACGAGTGACACGGATAGACAGTGGACTCACTTGCCGATAGCCATAATGTCGTAGGGCAGTTCGAACAGGAACTTATTCGACTGCGAACCGGTTTGAGACTCTCTTCCATCGAGGCACCCGACAACTCGACTCACCTCGTGACCGTCGACACCGCCCGGAGGGAAGCCGTCTGACAAGCCCGTACCTGTTCATGGCGATGTCAATCCCTCCCGCATCAAGAATAGCAAGGCAGGCAATGCGCGCACCGTCGTGCAAGTCACCCGAGTCAACCAAGAGAAGATCGACATCCTTTTCCTACACCAGGAATCAGTCCGCAGCACCATCCCATACCAACAAACGTGAACGCACAACCGCGAGCTGCTTCATGTGGGTCACGAAAGACGCGAAGTCGCCCAAGTCGCCACTGTGCTCCGTCCCGCGTCATCAGCCCGCTCTCCGCATCCGAGGAACCGACCAGAGCATCGCGACTCACCTGTAGTTTGGCTCGGGGAACGAGCTCTTCTGGTGTCCGAGGAGCCAGCCATGGCTGTCGGTGGTGTGGATGATGTTCACGTCCCCCCAGACGAGCGGCCTGGTGGGCGGGGTGAGGCGCGTCTGGGGATAGGCGCGCCGTTCGTGTTCGTGCGCGTGCGCGTGGTCGTGGTCTTCGCCGGGGCACGCCCGGACCGCGAGCGCGGCAAGGAAGAGCGCGAGCAACGACGTGAGCTGCATCGCGGAGACGTGCGTGGCGGGCGAGGGGACTGGAGACGCGTCGGGACGTCGCTCACGGTATTTATACCGGGGCTGCTCCAGGGGCGATACGTTTCGTGCCGCGCTCGGATAGTTGGCAGGATTCCGGATTGATGTCAAAGCAGCGGACTGATGGGCAGGAGCGTATCATCTGTGGTGTAGGGCGATCAATTGGAGATCCATCATATGGTTTCTCGTACTTATCAGTCGTAACGCCGACCGATTGCCCACGTTCAGATATAGCTCGTCCAACACAACGGAGGCAACGCTGCACCGCGGACATACATTCTCCAACGCTCTTCCTGCTGCGATAGGTGAGAGAAGGTCGCAGAGTGAACGTGGACATCCACGAGACACGCCAGACGGCGCGGGGTATTCTGGGATAGACAGGCGCGTTCCTGCTGCACGCGAGGGAGGCGAATTTGCGCGCACGTTCGCTGCTGAGGATGTCCATACCGGTGTCCAGTCTGGACGGGTAGTGACAGTGACACTTACCGTCGACATCGGAGCTACATAACCTCAGCTGGAGCTCGACTTCCCGCCTGCCAAGAGGTTTCGCTCGGGGGATTGAATCTGAGTTCTATGCACATGAACGATCTTCCGGCGACTAGCTGGAATGCAAGTGCGACGTGCGCAACGGTGCGAGGGGCAACGGTATAGCGACTGAGGCTGGCGACTACGCTCTGGGAGCAACTGAAGAGCAAGGACATGCACATACCTCGGCAGTCCATATCTCCTTCACACCATCCCGTCTCCCGTTCCATTCTGAAAGTGAGCCCGCCTCCACAATGATCGCGGAAAGGGAGTCATCCTGAGGTCGCACGTACTTGGGCTAGAGCCTGTCAAGTTGATTGCCAGCGCAGCTCAGCGCTCGGAAGTGCATCCAGAGTAAATACCTGCCGAAAATACTGCAGAAACAAGGTGATGAGCGTGCAATGCGGGTAGGAGAGGGAGGGAAAACGCACATATACAACGCAACCGCCCTAAAGCTGCCCTATCCTCTGCTGCATCTTCTCCTTCACCGTCTGGTATGCGCTCAGGATCGTCTGCTCGTTGATGACTATCTCGTCGTGTCCGCCCTTGGCCGGCTGACCCGGGACGCGATCGTCGTCGAGTCGGTCTCCACGATGATTCTACCCAGCATATAGTGCATCAGCCCCTCATGTACGAGCGGGCTCCGCCGCGCACAAGCAGACGGGTGAGACAGCGGGTGTAAGGCACTCACCCGTCGTCGATTGTCTCGTCTAGACAGAGGAGAACAAGGTCCAGGTTCTCAAGCACCCCGCGCTTCTCCACTTGGTTGCGCAGAAGGAGCATGACGGCGTCGGAGAACGCGACCAGGGCAGCGTTCAGCATGAGCTCGTTCTCGGTCGGGTCGCCGATGATGTAGAAGATGAGGTCGAGCGAGTGCTTGTAGACCGCGAGGTGCGAGTCATACAGGATGATGTCGCCTGCTCATGCGCATGAATGGAGCGGATAGCGATGAGCGACGGAGAGCACGATGCACACCGGTCATGGACGCACCTCCAGCCTTCTTCGTCTTTTGGAAGAGCCCCTTCTCAAAAGCCCGCTGCTCCTTCAGCGTTGTGAGCTTCTTCGACTCGCCATTCGAATGGCGAGTCGTACTTTGCGAGGACGCGATGGCCGCCGGTGTCGATGATGAGGAACGCGGTGACCGTGTAGAGCGACAAGTCCATGGTATTCGGCGTACTCGAACGCAGACAGTGAGTGAGGAGGCGA